AGGTTTAAAAGAAGGAAAATAACAACAAACAAAAGGTTTTATTTTACACACACTTATTTTCGGCCCTGGGCTAAAATAAGAGTAGGAAAAACTTTATTTTGGATATCAAAAGGAAATAAAATACTTTTGGATATTTGGGAGGGGTTGGGATTTTGGTGGAGCCATCCAGGGGTATAACATACTCCCCTTCTTCAAAAAAAGTTTGTCCTCAAACTTTTGCACCACCGTGGGAGATTGATGGTTTCATAAAAGTATTCCCGGATCAAATGGGAAACTTAATGATCCACCAATATTGAAGTTCACTCCGGACTTAGTTGGCACCTCGTAGTGTAATTTCTGGAATATGATGGCCACCTTGGTTAGTACCTGCTTCACATGTCCTTCAAAGATGAAATAAGTTTCTTCTTCACCAATTGGACGATAATACTCTGTGGAATTTAATTCCTTAGAATATATAACATCCGGTGTAGTTTCCTCCATAACAACCTCGGAATCTGGTTCTTCAACGAAGACGTCATTTTCATTTTTGACTTGAAAATCTGAGACGTCTTCAACAATGACAAGCTGGTCGTTGAAGCTTTTCTTCTCCTCTTCACAAATTATTTCTTCAATCAAAACTTCTGCACGTGAAGCTTCTTCATTAATCATGGCCCATTCTTCATACGGTACGGCATGTTCATTTGGGCATATCCAGTAGATATGACCATAGCCACAACACTTGTAGCACCGTTGAGTTGGCCCTTGCAATATAACCTCATTGGCGTAGATGATCTCCGGATTTTTGAGGTATCTTTGGACATCCATATCTCAACAACCAGATATTGGAAAGATGTAATTCCAATTCCCGGAGTTAGATATTGAAGTCTTTAAAGACATATCAAAATTTCAGAGCCATTGAAAAATGTTTTCTACCTCTTTGGAGACAAACTCAGCAAGGTAGACAGAATCCGGCCAGGACTGTGTTATCAACTTCGAGATGGCGTATCTCTCAAACCGTAACTCGGAATTGAGTGAAATCAGCGGCCAGACGTAGATAAAAGGTTAAACTACTGAACTGGAAAGTTTCACCTTCAAATACGTCGTGTAACTTCCTCCGTGCTCAATGCTATGGAACTGAAAGTCTCTGAGAAAAATCAGCAACCTTTGTGCAACGTTTGCAAAGCCGGTCCTCAAGGTGATCGTCGAGACTTAAGAAAGCCTCGAGGCTGAGCTTTGATACCAGATGTTAGGCCCGAACCGGGGGTCTAAACGAGTTGATATTTTGAGGAGAACTCAAG